GAGAGAGAGAGAGAGAGAGAGAGAGAGAGAGAGAGAGAGCGTAAATGTGTCAAATAAACCTGTTGGAAAGATCAACATTGGCAACTGTAAACCTGAGTGTTGATGTGTCAGACTGAAAAAAGGATTGTCCTTTCTCTATCGACTAAGGCTTGCCAGAAGGTGGACTCTTCCTCCAAAAACTAGACTTCTCCTCAAGCATCCTCTCAACCTCCTCAAACTGCATCCCCTTTGTCTCCGGCACGAAGAAGAACACAAATATTAAACCAATGAAAGCGAAACCACCGAAGAGTAGGAAAGTCCATGAAGGTCCTAGGGACTCGGTTAGAGTGAGGAACGTTTGGGAAACGATCAAATTAGAGATCCAATTCGAGGTGGCTGCAATTCCTCCACAGAAGCCTCTTACATGCAAGGGGTAGATCTCAGAGTTGACAATCCATGGAACTGTTCCCATACCAGGAGAGTAGCAGATGATGTACAAAGCGAGACCGACAAGTGCAAGCCAACCAAAGCTGGTTGGGCAGCCCTGTGTGTACCAGATGCGGTGCTCACCATTGCACGTGCTCTTCACAGCCTTGTTGTTAAGGAGGCATGCCCCTGGTTGAAGCTGCACACCACAGAGAGATTGAAATAAAATTTGAGAGAGAGAGAGAGAGAGAGAGAGAGAGAGAGATTGAAACAGAGTATACCTTGTTAATTTTGGAGGAGCAAAACCCACAATCTGGCGCTTTGAGGCATGTAGTGCAGCTCCATGCTGCTCTACCCGACGATTTGTACAAGGGGCATGTCAAGTTCCCACCGAAATGTGAGGTCTCAATACCACTGACCGGTGGAGAATGTGATGCAGTTTGGTTGAACACCACCATCAAAACCACAAGGGAAGCGACAATTCCAAACAAACTGCTGAGCAAAAGCTTTCGCCTCCCATTTCTGTCGACAAAATACATACTAACAATCGATCCGATAGCATTAAGGCCAGACGTGATGAGAGAGAGCAAGAGAGCTGTTTGGTTTGATGCGACACCCGCGAACTGAACAATTGTGGGACTGTAATACATAACAGTGTTTATTCCCACAAATTGTTGAATAACTTGAAGACCAATACCAGCAGTTAGGCCTCTTCTGGTTACTTTGTTTTTCCATAGAGCTAAAAAACCAGTATGCTTGGCGACTTCTTGTAATTGTTTCTCTTCTTCAACAGAGGTTCTGAGGGCATCAATCTCCTGCTCTAATTCATTGGGGGGGTAGATCTTTTCTAGGATTGCAATGGCTTCTTGTTCTCTTTTCTAATAAGAGTAGACAGGAAGTTAAAACATAAGACTGATGTATAGATTGTTTCTTTATGTGAGTCAATGTGTGTGTGTAAGAGTAGACAGGAAGTTAAAAAATTAAGATTGATATTTGCATTGCTTCTCTAGTGAGTTAATTTGTGTGTGTGAGAGAGAGATTAAAGTTTAAAAACCCTTTCTCAGTCTCTTTTCCTGTCTTGTGTCTTAAAGAGAGAGAGAGAGATCTGTTAATTAGTATTTCCATGAATGTTGGTGTGGAGGAAGGCTCATATTTGAGGTAAATCATGGGATAGTAATTGAGAATAGGAAATTAAAGACAGAGATAGATGAATAAACAATACAAGGAATAGGGAATTTGTTCAACCTTTACCATATTCTATGAGTCTGTATGAATATTGGGAATAGGAAATGAAAGACAGACATAGATGAATAAACAATATCAATATTGAGAATAGGAAACGAAAGATAAAGAGAGGAATAAACAATGCAAGGTTCGACCTTTACCGTATTCTATTAGTCTATATCAATAATCCAGTTTTTGATTACTCGTGATCCAGCTTGGACTTGCTGGTTCCGCTCAACTTGGGGATCTTAAAAAAAATTCAAAAAAAATTATAAAAAATTTAAAATAAGAAATTTATTTGTAATATGTTTTTTTTTGTGTTTGTTAGAAAAGTGTTTTGGTCATAAATACTTATTTTTACATTTTTCCTTCTTTTTGAATTATTTGTAAAATGCCACTATCACAAATTTTTTTTTTCAAAATCCATTTTTGCACTACTTTTTTGATCCCATTTAGATGTGTTTTATTTAATTTTATTTTAAAAATATTTTTCAGTTTTTTTTTTTTTGGAAATTTTGCACTACTTTTTTTAACAATTTTTTACTTGCCCAGCTCGATTCAGGCGGAGTACTCGAGCCTGGGCAGAGTACATGGGCCCAGATTATCTTTCCAACACTGCAATAAACAAAGATCAGTAAGGAGGCAGATAAAAAAATGTATTATTATATAGAATAAACAAACATACCATTCTAAAGAGCCACCTTGGAGATTCAGGTAGCCTCATCATCAAGATAATTTGTAAGATGGCAGGAATCCCTGCAACTCCAAGCATCCACCTCCATGTCCCAGGTGCCTAAACAAACAAAAATGAGAAAAATCCATAGAAATGAAAAATATAAAAACCAAAAAAGAAAAAGAAAAATTCAATTGTAAAGCATAATAATAAAATGTGCAGAAAAAAACCCACAAAAAATGTTCGGTTTTTCTACCTCATATTAAAATCAATCCTATTATTACCTTGGTAAAAGCCAAATTGATTAGGTAAGACAAGAACTGTCCTCCTGTGATGAGGAAGCCATTAGTACTGACAAGAGCTCCTCTAATTTTAGCAGGGGATGCCTCGGATATATATAGAGGCGAAGTCATTGAGGCCATTCCAACCCCCAAACCCACAAAAATTCTTCCCAAGATAATGACACCAGGATTAAGAGCAGCAGCCATTATAATTGCTCCAATTAAGAAGAGAACATCAGCTACTATGATTGTTTTCTTTCGACCAAATTTGTCATTCGCCCAACCTCCAAATGCTGCTCCAATAATGGCACCAGCCACCGCCATACTAACGATCGTTTCCTGCCGTTTCAGGATGAGAAAGAGAGATTTTAGGCCAACTGGTGGTGGGCATTGTTGGTTTTATAGAGAGAGTATATGGGCGAGAGCAGTGTTTGCTATATTGTGTGTGCGAGAGAGAGAGAGAGAGAACCTGCAAAACTGTCTTCCGGTCCACCGACGGGAAGTCATCTCGGATGTAGAGAAGAGCACCGGAAATGACACCTGCATATGGTTTTGATGAAAAAGTTTACAGCATGTAGCATGCATCTTCATGAGGTTGCAACCTAAGGGCCTGTTTGGTTGCCTACAAATGGGTCTCTCCCATGAAAATGGCCAGTAAATACTGTTTGGATGCCTCCCTTGTTTGTTTGTTTTTTTTTTTTTTTTCAAATGTGGAATTAACATTTCTATGAGATTGGAATAGAGCCACTGTTCCCAAAAACTTGGGGTGGAATTATATTAAACTTGGGGTGGAATTATATTTTACAGAGTGAGTTGTGGTCCGCCCCCAAAAAAATACGTCACGCCCTGGAACTGCAATGATTATAAGGAAAACTGTCTCATGCGACCAGATGTTTTCTTATTAGAATTATTATTTTTAGTTTTCAAATTTTATTTATTTTTTCATATTCATGATCTTTGTGCTAGAGATTACAAATCTTTAAAAATTAAGTAACAAAATCCATCTCAAAAATACATTTATTAATATTCATAATCTCTGTGCTAGAGATTACATGTCTTTAAAAATTAAGTCAAAAAATCCATCTCAAAAATACATTTATTAATAGGTCCACATTTCTACATATGTGGGCTTGGTCGCATAGAAACCGTGTCCTAATTATAATAATTAATTTATAATAATGAGTGTGTATCATATATTATATTAATTAATATATATTATATATAATTAACATATTAAATTATTAATTATTACATATAATAATCAATATAATACATATATTATAATATATAATTAACATTAGTTATATATAATAATTAAATATTATATTTACAATATATACTAACATGAATTGTATATATAATAATTTCATATTATAATTATAATTAATTATATATTCTTCTTTATAAGTAATTTGCATATTATAATAGATATATAATATTATAATATATAATTCATACTAATAATAATATATATAATACAATGTTATAATTCATATAATATAATTACAATTAAATATACATTATAAGTAATATACAAATTATAATAGATATATAATATTATAATACATAATATAACATAATATTATTACATTATATTAGAATGTAATATTATTACATTATATTATAATATAATATTATTATATTATATAATATTATATTATATTAGCAATCGAAAGAGTAGATTATCCAAGCAGCAGACACCTATAACCTATATTATAGGAGATCTGAGTCCAAAGGATTCTATATTTCCGGAGAAGATACTAATTCAAAGAGGGGTCTCCTTAGGATACCCATTTCCAGGGAAAATATGCCAAAATATGCCGTCTTAGCCGTAGGATTTAACATCGGACTGTTAGGGATTATTGTAGCTTTATGTACAAAAGTTATTAATTATATATAGAAATAGTATTTTTCGGATACTATTTACTATTTCCATATATAAGGGTAGGGGCCGTCACCACATTTACTCATCCAAAATAAAATTAAATAAAAAATAAAAAATAAAAAGGTAACTAAAACCTTCTATATGGAAGGGATCAAAACTTTCTTGATAAAATTATAAGGAACGAATCAAATCAATTTACTCCTACTAATATTGGTCCGCAATAACTGTGATGTCATACAAGTTGGTCCCTAGGCCTGCTTGGTATATATAATTAATAGCTATCAGATTTCACATCGAAATGCCTATACATAATTATTAAGGTAAATGATCCCGTTTTTTAATTATATATAGAAATAGTATTTTTCTGAGGAAAAGATCTAGAGGTTCAAGAACTCAAAACCAAAGATTTTTTTTAAAGTAATCATATAATGGTGTTTAAATAGATCCCAAAATTTAGAATTAAGAAAAAAAAAATCCCAAATAACTATTTTACCCCAGGGGAGTTGTTGTACTGTATATGCTCCAATGGGACTATGCTATACACTCTCAATAAAACATTAGCAGTTGATAATAGAAAATAAAGTAAATAGATTAAAAATGCTTTTTATTTTGCTAAAAAATTGGAAATAGTTTTTCACTGTTTTTTTGTATAGTTAAGCATTTTAATTTTACTGGAAAAAGAGAAAGGAGAAATATTAGGAGAGAATATAACTAGTAGACACTAGAAACCCACATTTTGGGTCTTTTTCCTTCAATGAGAGAGATACAGAGAATGAAAACCAGAAAAAAGAAAAGCATGATCGCATAGTGCATAGAGCCATTTCATGGATTCAGATCTTCATTGATATGTAAAATAGAAAATAGAAAATAGTAAACGATAACTAAATGTGAGAGAGAGAGAGAGAGAGAGAGAGAGAGAGAGAAAGAGAGAGAATGAAAACCAGAAAAAAGAAAAGCATGATCACATAGTGCATAGAGCCATTTCATGGATTCAGATCTTCTTTGATATGTAAAATATCAAATAAATAATAGTAACTAATAAGTAAATATGAGAGCAAGAAGATATGTAAAATATCAAAATAATAGTAAATAACTGGTAAATAAGAGAGAGAGAGGACATGCAGCAGGAGTAAGTGATCATTGTTTGTGGGTCAGAGAGAGGAAGTGGAGCAGAGGGTAGAAGTACATTTTGAAAACATAATGCATTTTTAGAGAGAGAAACATCAATCTATTTTACAGAGAAAAACATCATCAAATATTTTCCTTACCTGTATCATAGCCAAAGAGAAGGCCACCAATACCAGCTGAGAAAGCAAGTCGCAGGATATAAGGGTTTTTGTTTACAACAGAGAAACATTCTTTAAAGGAAGTGCTATCTGCAACATGGATTTCACCTTCCATGGATTCATCAACCAAAAGAAAAACCCAACTTTCTCTCTCTCTCTCTAAACAGAAGAATGCTCCATAGAGTGGATAGACCAGGATTTAAAGCATTCACTTAGGAATACACAAGCCATTTATAGTAAGTATTCCAAAATTTATCAGTCCCCAGCAAATGTCTCAATGACAAAACAATAAATTGGCATGTTTATTATGTTAAGGTTGTCGTTTGCATAAAGCTGAAGCTCTAAACATTAAAAATGATATCGAAATATATTGTTTCAGTATCAAAAATCTTTATGATGACCTAAAAAATTATTTTTATCTCTAATTAGAAAGTTTAAAGTTAAAAAATAGTGTAGATTCAGCTGATATATGAACACTTAAAATTTTTGAAAATTGATGGTCTAGATAATATATTACAAGATGCATTATTTTCAACGCTTGAAATCTATTTTTTTTTGTGTCCATATATCTTGAGCTCACAATGATCGAATTGAAGCTTTTTCAACATCGAAATGACTTTTTTTAACAAATTTTTGAGGTGCACTTTAATTTAATTGTTTAGGTCTAACTCTGATATGAACTTTTTTCTTATGTTAATGACCGTGGCTCAGAAACCATCCAAAAGCTTTGAATTATTGTGCAAAAGAATTATATAAACATATAAAGTAGAAAACAAAATTTTCATGGTAAATTATTTTATACACGCAGGCCCTAGATGTCTGTATAAGCTAAACGATGGAGATTGCAACATGTTGCTACATTCTCTATTGTCTGCTCGCGTAAAACCTCTATTATTTTTAGTTGGACAGTGGAGATTGCATCATCTTTGCATAAAATCTCTACCGTCCAATGTAGTTGGATAGTTGCAGCGTATCGCTATAGTGGAGACGATGGGTTTGTCTCCAGTTTTAGTGTTTATTTTAGAAACAAATACATTAAAACTATGTATTACATAAAAGTATTTTTTTGTGTGTGCCGGTGTCAAGAGCAAGGCAACACTGTATTTAACCGCATCACATTATCTGATATAATCCAAATAAAGATTGCACTCAAATATCGAGATTCAAACCTGATCTCTATAGTAATTAGATGATACATTTGTGAGAACGTATTAAAACTAAATCCCTATGTAAATCACTTAATAAGATTTTTAAGCCTATTTTTGGAGTTGGGGTATGTTAGGCATTAAAAGTTTAGCAAGGGTATAGCCCCTCTTTTAGAATGGAGTAACGTGGCGAGTTTATATTGGGGGTGCTTTAATTTTGGATATTGCCACAAATGGCAAGGTTGCATAGCAAAACGGCTATAAAAAGGGTGACATTTTTAGCCAATTTAAAATTATTTTTAGGATACGAAGAATCAATATCAGCCGTTGAATGACCAACTGATTATAAAGTCAATTAATCCCAGCCGTTGGTATCGTTTTTGACTAAGTGGACTGCTAGTGAGGTGGTAATGGTGCACTGGGAGGATAAAATATTGGATAAGATTAACACATGGCACTCAAATAATATAGATAGGGTGTAATTATTCAAAAGAGATTTAAATCTTATGTGCTTTTTTTTTTTAATTTTTTAAAAAATGTAATTTAAATCTTACATGTATATATGTATGTGTGTAGGATAGAAACTAGTATCTCTCTATTACTATACTATCTCTGTAGATGATCCCTATTTTATACTTCAAGTTTTGAGCCAATCTTTTTGAGTAATATTTTATACTTTAAGTTCTCTTAACCAATCTTTTTATTCAAAGGAAAAAAAAAAAAAGCTCTTGGCCTCTTTCACTTTTCACTCGCACTTTCTCTTGGCCTTTGTCCAGCTGGAGCTGGGTCGGGCCAAAACAAATGAAATTTTTTTTAAGGAAAACGTTAGAAAAGGTCAGCCCAACTGGGTTGACACTAGCCACAACCGAACCCTTGGGACACAGTTTGTGCCCAAAGCCCCAACTAGATTGCAACTAGCCACAACCAAGCCCTTGGGACACAGTTTGTGCCCAAAGCCTTACGCTTTAAGGAAAATTATAGATACCCCAAAATAAACTTTGTGATATTAAAAGTATTGGGTAGGATGTCTATAAAATTTATTTTAAAAATATTTTAAAAAAAAGTCTTAAAAAATAAACTACACGGTCAATTTAAAATATCTTAAACGATTTTTTTTACCACGAGATTTAAGGCATATTTACGAAATTTAACGCATATATCCTAAAGTTTCTCAAAAGTTGGATATAGATCTAGTTTTGTTTCAAATTCGATTGACTGATTCTTACATTTAGGCGTGATTGAGTCAAAACCTATCCCTTGTATTCAGGTATAATCCAGTCTAAGGGAAGTTATCGCACCAGAGAGAACCTTTGAGTTTGATTGAGCATTGGGAAATGGGTGCGGTTTGTATATATCCTACGCTCTAAACAATCAAATTAGAGCCACTTTCAAATAGTATCGAGAAATGTGGTTTTAATATTGAAATTTTTTGCGATAACTTTAAAATATACTTTCACCTTTATTTATAAAGTTTAAATCTTAAAAAACAATGTAGATCGATATATCTATGAAAACTTGAAAATTGATGGTCCAAAAATGTGTTATAAAATACACTATTTTCATAACTTAAAAATCCATTTTCTTCTAATGTTCATGTATCTTGATGTCTGAGATGATCAATTTGAGGATATTTAGACATCAAAACAACCTCTTCTAGTGAAATTTTTTAGGTAGGCGCTAATTTGATTGTTTAGAGCCTCAGCTCTATATAAACTTTTTCATTGGGAAATAATCACACACTTTTGATATAAGGTGGTCCTAATTAATTTTGACAATTCGATATAAAATTGGATAGTTACATTTATTCTATTGACCAAGAACAAACTTCAAAAGAAATTTTTTTGAACTTTGTGACACACCCAAGCTACATGTATTCGCATCAGATGATTATAAATAATTGTGACCTCCTTGATTCTAAAGTAAATGGTCTCCTTGTATACAATCTTATAATCACATTGAGAATCCTATAATTTATTTGGGGGTTGTTTATAAAGGGAAAAAGTTTATATGAGATTGTAACCTTAAAATGTAGAATTACAAATGCACCTCAAAAATCCATAGGAAAAGGTTGTTTTAATGATGAAAAAACCCTTTAATTGACCATCTCGATAATGATATGTATGAATATGAAGAAAAAAAAAGATTTTGAATCCTAGAAATAGTGCATCTTGCAACACATTATCTAGACTGTCACTTTTCAAGATTTTTATATGTTTATAGATCTACTTGATTTTAACCATTTTTAAAGTCTAAAATTTTATAATTAGATATGAAATGGATTTTGAGATAATCGTAATAATTTTTTATAAAATTTGGAGGTGCGACTTAATTGGATTGTTTAAGGTTGCAACCTTATAGAAACCACACCCTTTATAAGTAGACCATCTATCGTTTGTATATAGAGGTCACAATCATTTACATTAATTAGATGTCAAATTACGAACTTTGTGTCTATTCAATGACACTCTTACAACTACCCATTTTGAAATTTAAAGGATAAGAAAGATTGTGACCTCCATATACAAAAGATGGTCGTCTCTTTGTAGAAAGCGAGGAAAGGTTTTATGCTTATCCTATAACATAGAAGTTCTATACTCCCCCTACCATCCAGCCGCCCAATTTTGATTAAGAGAGCCACTTACCGTTTGATCTTAGATCCGACGTCTCAAAGTGTTTTATTTTTAGTTATTTTTATACAAATTCTATGAATCTGAAATTTGGTACATGCCATCTTCTCATTGGGGCACACCTATAAAAAGTATTAAAAATAATTTTTTGATAAAATATAATGACCAAAATACCCCTTAAAACTTTCAAAGGTATTTTGGTCATTTTATTTTATTGAAAATATTTTTTCTATATTTTTACTTGTGCGAGTTTAATAGAGGAATGGACGTCCAAAATTTGATGTTACAAGAGTTTATAAAAAAAATTAAAAATAAAAAAGTGTAGAGACGTGACATTGTGACTGAGGCAATCTTAAGCCTCCATCCAGAATGGACGGTTGGATAAGGGGGAGGATACAACTTTTATGTTGTATGGGAAGCATAGAAAGCTTGCCCTTGTAGAAAATCCTATTTATTTATATTGTTTTTTTTTATGCATTCGATTAATTTATGCTGAAAAATTTAATAACGCCATGCTAATATTTTAAGTTTTTTATATAAGGTATAAAATTTAATGCTTTTTATTTATTATGTATGGTGAAAAGTTGGGGGAAATTTTGGAAAGGAAAAAGTCTATGTATGGTGTCAATCTAAAGCAATGTGCACCTCAAAAATTCCTCTAGAAGAGAGTGTGCTGGTTTTGGAAAACCCTTCAATGATCATCTTGACCTCTAGAATCCTCTAGGGTGTTTTGATATTGGAAAATCTTCCAATTGAGGATCTTGACTACGAGAGGATTGTATATTACGAGACCATTTACAATTATTGCAAATGAAGTCATAATCACTCTTAGCCTTTAGATGACAAATTGGATGGCTTGGGTTGTGTCACAAAGTTTGTTTATTTTTTGATCTTTAAGTATAGCTAATGACACATTTGCCGCCATCCGATTCAAATATGACAGACAAGAGTGATTGTGATCTCATTGTACTCAAAATAGTTGATCAATTTATATATTTTTCTAAAACAATTTCAAGCCCTTAAAATAATATATCTTTTAACAAGTTATATGGACCATCTATTTTGAGGATTTTTCAAGTATTTATAGATGTGCTCAACCTATACTATCTAAAATTTTAAATTTCATGAATAAAGATGAAAATAAATTTTTAAACTATTTTAAAGTTTTTGATATTAGAACTATATTTTCAAGTAAAATTTAGAGGTTAACCTTACTTCTACAACAATATAAAGGTGGCTCCTTATGTAAACCTAACATGTATCCCATTTTTACATTGGGTGTGCTTCCCATATACATTAAGGGCCAGTTTGGATAGGAAGAAATTATAAATCTTAGATATTTGAAATCCAAGGAAAATTTTAATATAGGAGGAAATTATGAATCTTAGATATTTGAAATCCAAAGAACTCT